TAAATTCAACCAATTAATTAAAATTCGATTTCATTTCTAGAGAAAGGTGACAATTTTTAGATGAGAAATGTGAGAGGGAAAGAAAAAAAAAAAGTTTTTAAAGACGTGGGTGGATGTAAATATGAAGAGCCTTGGGATTATTGAGAATACGATGAGTACCGGTTCACGTGTGTACTCATGGAAATCAGGATTGTGAATCATTCGCACTTACACTCTCGCCAATATGCAATCTAACGATTAATGTCAGGGAGGTGCATTTGAAAATATTTCCCGCCAGAAATTTACGAGCTCGCGAAGAAACGTATATATATTTATATAAAAAAAAATACACACACACACATATATATATATAGAAATTAGAAAGGAAGTAAAATAAAAAAAATAAATAATAAAAATAAAAGAACAACTGAAAACAGAAAAGACTTCCGTGGTGAGAAATTATCATTAGAGATATAAACTTTCCTGTCTATTGCTTCCGTCTTAACAACACGGTATCGTATCTTTAAATCATTAATCTCTTATTTAAAAAAAAAATTTTCTTTCACATTTAAAGAATTTAAATTTCTAAAACAGGTTTTCAGACAACAAATTTTGTTTTTTTTTTTAATTTAACCAAAAGAAAATTATTTATTTTTACCTATTAAAATTAATTACATTTTGATTTTTTCGAAGTTTTAATTTTTATCAACAAAAAAAAATATAATAAAAAAAAAATTCAATTTCTCCTGAAAGTGAGAATTAAAAATAAATTCCCCCTCCCCCCTCTTTTTTTCCTTGCCTTTAAAATTCACTAAACGTTCGTTTAAAAGAATTTCTCAAGTGCAGTGAGATTTTAATGCCTTTCAAAGAAAGAATACAAATAGTATAGTTAATTTTAAACTCACAAGTCTTGTCACAATTATAATATTCACACTTGACAGTGGCGCAAAACGAATAGAAAGACAGTTGTATAGATATAAAAATATTTACATTTCGTATCAGAAAATATAACACGCTTCTGAAAATTAAAAATTAAATGAATTGAAAAAAATTATTTTTTAATTCTTCTTTTTTAATTTTTTTTAATAATCATTAAATTATTATTTTTTTATTACAATTATTTTCATTTTTTTATAAAAAAATTAAAAAATTACGTTGAAATTTAAATATTTTTAAAATTAATAAAATTAGAAAAAAATTTTTAAAAAAATATATTTAGAAAGGAAATATCGCGAGAGGAATGTGAAAAAAATAACATTAAAAAAAAAAAAAAAATTTGATGGATATTTAGAAGAATCGTAAAAAATTAACTACTTTTATTGCAATAAAATTCTATATATGAGAGGAAGAATTAATACTGTAATAATAATAATATAAAATAATAATATTTCGTTTCTCCTGGAAAACTATTAAAAGTTAGACTATAAAAAGCTGAAGGTTCTGATTAGGAAGCCTTTTGCACTTGAATACACTACAATTTACTCTAATTGCATCTCGAAACTAATGCAGTAATGCAGCCTAATCTAATAAAGTTGGAAGTCTCATCAGAATGATCTTACTTGAAACCTAATAGCAACGGTTAGATCAAAAACTAAAAAAAAAAGAAAAAGAAAATTAAAAAAAAAAAAAACAAATAATATTTAAAACCGATTTCTGTCAGTAACTCTCTATCCACTTATCAAAATGATAAAATCATCATGTACTTTAGATTCCCTTTTTCTTTTTTTTTAAATAAAAATAAACTACTGTACATATCAATTAATTTTGAAATTAAAAAAAGCAAATGTTTCAACTCAAGATTTTATCTAGAAATGCAAAATAGAATAAATTTTTTGTATTCAAGGTTCTTAAACTTTTTTTTTTAAAGAAATTTTTAGAAATAATATTATAATCCTTAATATTCACTTTAACGATTTTTTGCAAATAAATAATTTTGAATTTTTTGTCAAATATTACAATTTTTGCGAAAATGATTATTTCTTTAATTATAAAAATACAATTATAATAATTATTTATTTATTATTAAAATATTATTTATATATTATTTGCAATATTATAAATATATTATTTATATAAATATTTATTCATTATAAAAATATAATTATATTTATATATAAATAAACATTCTAGAAAAATGTGTAATATACTTGCAAGTTTCTTATCTACTGATAATTTAATTACAAGAACCTTGAAAAATTTTTATAGTTAAATAAAGATGAATTAAATATTAATCATTAAATATTAATCTATTGATACTATTTTTATAAAATTATTTAACATTTGCATATTTACCTAGACATTATATATTATTATTATTATTATCATTATATTTCAATCCTTATTATCAATAAAATGTTAAGTTTCACATTTTTTTTCACATATATATATAACGTGTATTAAAATTAAGACAGAGAAATTTCACTTTTTTTGACTGACCCAATTTCAAACTACTTTCATCATCGATTCGAATGTCCAGAGGAGTTTTAAATAAATAGTCAAAATTAAAAATAACTCTATCGTTGAATTATTTATAGAAAAATTTATATTTCAACTTTACTACTATTTCGATTGTTTAATTTTAGGTTTATTTATTTTTTTATTTTTTATTTAAATTAGAATCAAATTTGAAGAATTTAGAAAATTATTTTTAATTTTAAAATTTTTCTGTTATTTAATGAATACGATTTGCAAATTTTAAATTCTGATGATGAAACAGATAACGATAATCAAATGATTATTAAGCTGGGAAATTGTATAATCGATTGACACTAGCAATAATTAAATATAAAAATTGTTAACAAATGAATAAATGCGATTTTTAAAAGTATTTTAATTTCATAGCAAAAAAAAAATGTAATTATTACCAAAATATTATATTTATTCGCAAAAAATTAAATTTAAAAATAAAAAATAAAAATAGAAAATATAAAAATAATTTGATTTAATAATATTATACATTTTCATTTGAAAAAAATTTTTTTTTATGGTCTTTCAAAAAATGATGCAACATCTTGAAAATTGATCTCTCAACTTTCTCTGATGGATAAAATCGAGGAACCTTAATTAAGTTATTTCTCCCACTGAACATAATATAAATTTTTAATAATTTTGTTAAAAATTTAAATTTTGTTTTAAAAAAATGCATTAGTTGAAAATTATTTTGAACTATTTAATCCTAGCAGTTTATAATCTGGAAAATTCATTCAAACAAAAATTCTCAAAAGAATTTTTTATTTGGCAGAATTTTTCTTTTGAACTGAATTTTGATTTAATAGAATTTATAATATTATTTTATTTTTATTATTATTGTATTAAACAAATATTTATGTGATCAAATTTATTTTAACCGCCAAGGTGTTTTTTTTAAATAGTTCACTTTTTGCTTCAGTAATTTTTTTTGATACTTTTTTATATTTTTAATTTTAATTAGAGTACTTTTGTACAAAAAGGCGTTTTTCTCTTCACTGAAAAAAAATTTATTTGATTCTAATAATCGGTTACTTGACTATAATCAAATAAATATATATTTCAATTACACTCAGAGAAATGTAATATTTGTCTCCGAGCCTACTAACTCATTTATTTGTTGCAAATATATTTTATTTCATTTAAATAAAAAATTTATTTGAGCCAAAGAAAAATTTATTTATGACAAGTAAAATTTTTTATTTACGCCAAATAAATAAGTTAGTAGGCTCTGAGACAAATATAGGTTTATTTAATTCAAATATATTTTATTTAATTCAAATATATTTTATTTAATTCAAATATATTTTATTAAATTCAAATATATTTTATTTGATACAAATAAATCATTTCTCTGTGTGTAAATAATTATTATTTGAGTCAATTTAACGATATCTATTTCAAATATAGAAATAATTGGTTCAAATACAAAAATAGTTGGTTTAAATACAGAAATAATTGGTTCAAATACAATTTATTTAATTTAAATAAAAATTATTTGGTTCCTGTAAATATTTGTTTGATAATAGTCAAGTAATCGATTATTTGAAATAAATAATTTTTTTTTCTGTGTTGTTTTATAGTTAATAATTAATAAACAATAACTGCACCCAGAGAAATAGTTTATTTGAACCAAATATAATATATTTAAGTTAAATAAACGTATATATTTTTCTCACAGCCTACTAGCCCATTTATTTGGCGTAAATAAATTTCTTTATTTAAATCAAATAAAAATCAAATAAAAATAAAAAATTTAAATCGAATAAAAATTTTTTTGAATCTACTTAATATTTTTTTAGGCTCTGAGACAAGTATATTATTCACGCAAAAAAAATCCTCACCTGGAACAGCGATAAGTTTCTCTGGAACAGCGATATATTTCTCTAGAATAGGGAAAACTTTCGCTATTTTAGTGAAACATATCGCTGATCTAGGTGAAGATTTTTTTTTGCCTATTTCTCTGGGTGTGAAATTTTCGTTTCTTCTCCTTCTTTCAAATGTGAAAGAACCCAGAGAAATAGTTTATTTGAACCAAATATAATATATTTAAGTTAAATAAACGTATATTTCTCTCACAGCCTACTAGCCAATTTATTTGGCGAAAATAAATTTCTTTATTTAAATCAAATAAAAATTTAATTAAATCAAATAAAATTTTTTTTTGAATCTATTTAATATTTTTTTAGGCTCTGAGACAAATATATTATTCACGCAAAAAAAAATCCTCACCTGGAACAGCGATATATTTCTCTAGAATAGGGAAAACTTTTGCTATTATAATGAAACATATCGCTGATCTAGGTGAAGATTTTTTTTTTGCCTATTTCTCTGGGTGTGAAATTTTCGTTTCTTCTCCTTCTCTTAAATGTGAATTTTATAAAAGAAAAATTGCAATTAAAATGAAATTAAAAATTATCTCGTAAATTCTACTTTTGTAAAACAATTTTTCGGAAATATCCAAGATACATTAATCTGGATCTACTCTGATTTCCTAGAGCCCTAAAAATAATGGAACTTTGATCATCATCATCATCGTAAAAAAAAAATCGTACCATTTATGTACATGGGATGTTGTCGCCAAAGATGTTGATACTGATTCCAACGTGAACTAGCACTGTCAGAATGAATTGATGGCAGGGGTGCGTGAACTTGGTGGGCGTGTGATGTTGGCGGAAGTGGCGGAAGTGCCGGTGGTGGAGGTTGTGATTGTTGTTGATGGGCCGGCGCAACAACGATATGAGGATGGGGTTGTGGACCAGAAGGCTGATGCTGTTGTGGATGATGCGCCTGATGCAACACTCCCGGTACCGGAGGCGGCGCCAATTGCTGATACTCCATAGCGCAACTCATCCGGTTTTTATCACTGTTGCATTTAATCCCCGAAAAATTAAAAAAATAAAATTAAAAAAAAAAAAAAAAAAAAAAAACGTTAACAATTCTATCACCCGAGTCACTATAATTATCACTGTCTCACAAAATCACTTTTAAAAAAATTCTCTCCTCAATTATTCGATCAATTGTTTATCAATCACTTTTTTTCTTTTTTTTCTTCTTCTCCAGGATTTTTGATTGCGAAAACAACACTTTGAAATTTCTTCCTCTATATCCTGTAGTAGGTCAATTTTATTCCTTCATAATTACACAATTATTCAATTGAAAAAACATTGAAAATAAAATTCTTCCTTTAGGATCACAATATTAGAGAAGTGTTCTCAATACCATTGGGAAAAAAAAAAAAAAAAAAATTTTGCAAAATATACACGGAATTTATGTGATGTCCTTGAGTTCTATGATGATCACTAGAAGTTCTCCAATCACTTTTTAATTCAAGGATCCTTAAAAAAAAACACAGAAACCTGTTTCTTTTTTTTTTAATCCACAGATGATCACAATAACACTTAAAAAAAATAATCACTATCCTTTTTTTTTTTTTAAAAAAAAAAATCCTTTTTCTTCAGTAGAACAACCTCGAAGATCCGGATTTACAATTGTCAACCGGATTTTTGACTAAAGTTCCCGAAAAAAAATTGAATGACACGCGCGCGCAGTCGTTCACGACTGTCAAAACTTTATCCAAGTTTTCATGAACGAAACACGCATCATTGTTTATTGGTTTAGAAAATGTTTTTAAAAAAAAAAGTGGCGGGAATTGATTTTGATTGGTGATGAGATTGAAAAAAAAATGGTGGTGGGGAGAAAAAAATTGAGGGAAGGAGAGATGACCTGAAGGTGTCTAGGACGTCGCTCGAAGGATGTTTTTTTTTTTTTTTTCTTCTCCAGATTCTTCAAGGATCTATCTCTCTCTGTCTCTCTCTTTCTTTTTATCGAGAATGTGTCTCGAACGCGCGACGTCCGAAAAGACACTGCGCCGCGGGATCGCGAGGAGAGCTCTCCGCGATTCTAACCTTACTTTACTCGTCAGTCCGCCCCCAATCCCCCCCCTTCCCCCTCTCCACTGGATGGCGCCGTTACACGTTCCCCACTTGATCCTCAATGCGACTTCCCACAATCTCTCGTGTGTCTGGTTTTCTCTCTCTCTCACTTTTTCTTTCACGATTTTATCTGCGCCTTTCTGTCTAGTGTTAAACATGCAGCCAACCAACGATACCAAAGTTGTGACGACGCTGAAGAACCAATCCAATAACCCCCCTACCCCCACCCCCCCCCCCTCCGATCATTGCAATCATGATGGGCTTCCGCATTGCCACAAAGATTGGTCGGGGATTCCGGAAACACTAGTACTCTACATTTATTTTGTCCAGGAACTAGATTTCATTTTTCTAGGTTTGTTTGTTTTTTTTTTTTTGCTTTGCTTTTTTTTTCACCGATGATTATGATCAAAGTTTTCCAATTCACTTTTCTTTGTATAATTTACATGCGCTATAATACAATACGTGAATTGCGTTCAAATGGGATTAGTTATACACTGTAAAAAAAAGGAGTTGAATTTTAACTCCCTAGGGGATGCTATAAAAGTCACATCCTTTTGGATTTGAAGCAAAGGGAGTTAATTTTATGCTTTGGGAGTTAATACTAAGTTAATCTAGTGTTAACTTGCTTTTGGAGTTGATTTTAACTCCAAAAATTTTACTTTCAACCCTTGTTGCCATTAACTCTCCAAATGCTTGTACAGTGTATTCTATTTATTACTCTTAACTTTTTTTTTACTCTCAATGTATTTTTACTCAATATTGGGAGTAAAATTTGTACACTGTAAAAGAAAAGGAGTTGAATTTCAACTCCCTAGGGGATGCTATAAAAGTTCAACACATTTTGGAGTTGAAGCGAAGGGAGTTAGGGTTTTACGAGTTAATTTTATGCCTAGGGAGTTAGTTTTATTGAGTTAATTTAATTATTAACTCCCTTTTTGAGTTGATTTTTAACTCCCAGTAACGTTAACTCCCTAATTTTTTTACAGTGAAGAGTTAAAAATTAACTCTAAAATTGAGTTAACCTTGCATTAAATAGTATTACATTTTTAACTCCTAACTTCCAATAACGTTAACTCCCTAATTTTTTTTACAGTTGTAATACTATATTTAATCTAAGGTTAACTCAATTTTAGAGTTAATTTTTAACTCTTCACTGTAAAAAAAATTAGGGAGTTAACGTTACTGGGAGTTGGGAGTTAAAAATCAACACAAAAAGGGAGTTAATAATTAAATTAACTCTTTAAAACCAACTCCTCAGGTATAATATTAAATCGTAAAGCATTAACTCCCTTCGCTTCAACTTCAAAAGGGTGGGACTTTTATAGCATCCCCTAGGGAGTTGAAATTCAACTCCTTTTCTTTTACAATGTACAAATTTTACTCCCAATATTGAGTAAAAATACATTGAGACTAAAACAAATAGTTAAGAGTAATAAATATAATACACTGTACAAAAATTTGGAGAGTTAATGGCAACAAGGGTTGAAAGTAAAATTTTTGGATTTAAAATCAACTCCAAAAGCAAGTTAACACTAGATTAACACTCTTAGTATTAACTCCCAAAGCATAAAATTAACTCCCTTTGCTTCAAATCCAAAATGGTGTGACTTTTATGGAGTCCAATTGCGAGTTAAAATCTAACTCCCTTTTTTACAGTGTAATAATAATAATAATTGCTACACGGAGAAAAATGGAAAAACAAATAAATTTACTTTTACTGCTTCAGAAGTAACACCGGAACTGTCCGCAGTTTCTGAGCATTTCTGGCAATTTTTACTTCAGAAATAGTAAAAATTACTCCGAAAATAGTAAAATTTACTCCTAAAATAGTAAAAATTATTTTGGAAATAGTAAATTTTACTATTTCTGGAGTAAAAATTGCTAGAAATGCAAAAAAACTGTGAACAATTTCGGTTTTACTTTTAAAGTAGTAAAAGTTACTTTATTCGTTTTTCCATTTTTCTCTGTGTATGGTAACAATAATGGAAAAGGTTACTATGTTGCCATAGTAACTTTTGCCATAGTAACTAACTGTTATCATAGTAACGGTTGCTATGGAGACGGTTGCCATGGAAACGGTTGTTATGGTAACGGTTTGAAATAAAAAAAATAAAATATTCTAAATTTTAAATTGAGTAATTAATTTCATTAGTTATTTTTATAAAATATTTTTTTATCTTTACAATTAGTCAAATTATTAAAAAAAAAAAAAAATTCGTATCAGGCATTTATTGAACACACATATTAAAGTAGTTAATTTTTTTTTTTTTTTTTTTTTTTGTAAAGCAAAATAAAAAAAAAACCGTTTAATTACACAATTTATAAGGTTTTACTTCAAGAACTCGGAATTAGTTACTGTTACTCTCTATCCTTGAATTAGAATAAAATCAAACGAAACAAAAAGGGGGAAAAAAATATAATTGTTTCTTTATTTAATTGTCGCATTTGATAAAAATGTTTTCTATTCGTCCTTTCACTGTATCTAACAGTAGAAATTTAGTTTTTTTTATTATTATTATTATATTGAGAGTCATAGTCCTTGAAAAATTTTCTCGATCTACTTTTTTCTGGACTTTTTGATAGACAAGAGAATTTTTTTCTGTTTTCTTTTTTTTTGGGTAAATTAACGGTACATATTATTGTCTCACTTGGAATAAAATTGAAAGCGGATAAAATCGAAAGTGTCTGCAGAGCTATATGCGCTTGGCGAAATGTGGAAAAAAAAGAGGAGAAACATACAAAAAAGAGAGAGTTAGGGCCAATTCAGTCGATTTTACTTTTAAAAATTCAACTCTGTATTTTAAAAAAAAACAAAAAAAAAACTGTTAACGTCAAGAGAGTTTTTATATCTATTTCGAGAGAACGAGAGATGGATATAAAATAAAAAAATTGTAAAAACTATAATTTATTTAAAATGAAAATAATTTGGAAAAATAGGGCAATTGAAAAGTCAACTGACAAGGCTCTGATGAGTTTTTCGTAGGGTATTGGTGGGGAATAGCGTAACCAAGGGGGAATTTACTCAGGTAGTCAAGTGTACACTCTTCCTGTAATACTTGTGTAATAACGTGTAATACCGTGTAATAATGCGTTATTACGGTGCTGTAATAACGCAAAAAAGTCTGTAATATTTCCACAGAAAATTAAAAGGCATTAAAATAAGCGTTGCAGCTTATTTTAATGCCTTTTAATTTTCTGTGGAAATATTACAGACTTTTTTACAGCAGCTTATTTTAATGCCTTTTAATTTTCTGTGGTGGCATTAGTTACTGTGGCATTAGTTACTGTGGCATTAGTTACTGTGGCATTAGTTACTGTGGCATTAGTTACTGTGGCATTAGTTACTGTGGCATTAGTTACTGTGGCATTAGTTACTGTGGCATTAGTTACTGTGGCATTAGTTACTGTGGCATTAGTTACTATCTGTAATAATGTGTATTAAACTGTAATAACGTGTAGTACTTAGTAATAAGGGTAATATGAGGTGTATTACCGGTAGTTAAGTGTACACGTTTTTAACTAGTAAATTCACCCTCGAGCGTAACAGTCTTTTAGGGCACTAGTCAGTTTTTCAGAGAAGGGCTAGATTGGAGATAGGGAAATCTGGACAGTACCCCATCAGGCCCACATTTCAATTTCTGCACAGAATATAGAAAAAGAATATGAGTCGAAAAATTAAAAAAAGTAGTTAAAAAAACAAAAGAAGAGACTACTTAATTCTTAGATTTTTGCAAATTTGGACTGGTGAGGTTGAGAGAGAGAGAAAGAGAGAAGCCCAACTTGATTTCTGGGTTTGGAGACTGAATCACTGAAACCGGTCCTGAAGCTAATCCTGATTTCGTGAACGCGGAAATGGATCAAGAAGTTCGTTTCTTGCTAAAAAAAAATAATAAAAAATAAAGAAACAGGGCACAAAAAAAATATTATGCTCGTCTTCCTTTTCTCCCTCTATATAAAATCAAGTTCCCCGTATTTTTTATATAGAAATGGTATAATAGATAAAATTATATGTTGCAATCAATATATTTACATACATGTGAGCGATGTGGAAAAGGAACTTTCTTTTCATATTAAAAGAGAAAAATTTTGTTGACATTTCACAGATTATAAAAGTTATATATATATATATAGAGAGAGAGAATAAAAGTGATATCTTATAATGAGAAAAAGTAACACTTTATTGCTGACCGTGCGCGTATTACTTCACATTATTTTAAAATACTTTCTACTTTTTCCTTCTAGACGCACAAAAATTCCTTTTATATAGATGAGCATCAATTAATGGATTAATGATTTGTTAATTTTCAACTAATTTAAAGAAGAAAAAATACAAAATTTATTTTCAAATACTCGATTACTTGACTGTTGTCAAAGAAATATTTACTTGAACCAAATAATTATATTATTTAAGTATTTTTTCAAATACAAAATCGAAATGAAAATTGTTTGTTTTAAGTAAATATTTATTTGATAATAGTCAAGTAACCGATTATTTGAAACAATTTTTTTTCTTTAGTGAATAAAATAACAAATAGAATTTTTTTTTTTTAAATTCAATTTTGGAAAATCAATGTTTTTTTTATTGACTATAGAGCTTAATTCGACATCGAATTTTCTGATTCTAAAGATTAAAAAACCAGTGGTTCTTTTAATGGTTGCGCGCGGGATGAAAAAGAGTATCCGGCAACCTGTTGATTCTGCCCCTTTCACTCCGCACGATTTCAGCGTAACTTGCAAGTAAATTTATAATACGTATATAAAGAGAAAAAGAAAAGACAGAAGCAAAATTTAGATTAAAATTGTTACAGAATCAGTCTTATTTGGCTAAAAATCAGTTTTTTTACTGCGATCTTAAAATTTTCTCTGATTTTGAGAAAAATTAGTTTG